AGATCAAAGTAGGTCTCACACTCCTGGATCTCAAAACATATTATACAGCCGCAGTAGTCAAAACTGCCTGGTCCTGGTATAGAGACAGACACATAGACCAATGGAATAGAATTGGGAACCCAGAAATAGATCCATCAACCTATGGTCAGCTGATATTTGACAAAGGGCTGAAATCCATTAAATGGGGAAAAGAATGTTTGTTTAATAAATGGTGCTGGCCAAACTGGATATCCATTTGCAGAAAAATGAAACAAGATCTGCACCTCATATCATACACAAAAACTAACTCCAGATGGATCAAAGATTTAAATGTGAAACCTAAAACTATAAAGTTCCTCAAGGAAAAAATAGGGACAAACTTAGGGGCCCTAATATATGGCATAAATAGACTGTCAAGCATAACCCAAAATGCAGAAACAGCAGAAGATAAATTAGATGAATGGGACCTTATAAATAATTTTTTATGTGCTTCCAAAGACTTCGAAAGAGTAAAAGAAGAACCTACAGATTGGGAAAAAAAATATTTGGTAACGACATACCTGACAAGGAACTTATCTTTAAAATGTATAGAAAACTCCAACACCTCAACAAAAATAAATAAATAATCCAATTTTTAAAATGGGCAGAATACATGAATAGACACTTAACCAAAGAGGATATTCAGGCGGCCAAAACAAACATATGAAGAAACACTCATGATCATTAGCCATTAGAGAGATGCAAATCAAAACAACAAAGAGATATCATCTTGCCCCAGCACTGGTAGCAAAGTTCAACAAGACAGAAAAGAACAAATGCTGGCAAGGATGTGGAGAGATTGGGACTCTCATACACTGCTGGTGGGACTGTAAAATGGTAGAATCACTGTGGAAATCAGTATGGTATTTCCTTCTAAAGTTGGAGTTAGAAATACCATTTGACCCAGCAATCCTATTACTGTACATATCCTAAAGAAGTGAGAGCCAGGACAAGACCAGATATATGCACACGCATGTTCATCACAGCACTATTTACAATAGCCAAAAGATGGAAACAACCTAGGTGCCCATCAACAGAAGAATGGATAACCAGACTATGGTACATACACACAATGGAATACTATTCTACCCTAAAGAATAACGTAGAATCTGCAAAACACCGCATAACATGGATGAACTTGGAGGACATAATGCTGAGCAAAGTAAGTCAAACACAGAAGGAGAAATATTGTATTAGTCTGTTATTGTAAAAAGCCAAGGAAAGGTTTATTTATGGAAGAAAATTTTCTTTGTTGGTTACCAGGGGTAAGAGGGGAGAGGAGAACACTGCTACATAGGTAGAGACAAGTATTGATTTGGGCAAAGAGAAGGGCAATGTACGAAATGTGAGTGATCAACACAGTGGTGTTGAGGAAGACGAAGACAGTTGAATGGGAGGTACTGACAACAAAGATGAACCCTTTTGCACATTACTTTGTTGTCAGTGATGGGAAACATTGATCTAAGGATGGATAGATGGGTGGACAGGCTGAACATTTAGGTATGCCTATGCAGGGAGGAGTGTGCGCAAAACCATATCTAGGGTTGGCATACAATGTTTCTACAAATGTACTTGTATGTTCTGTAAGAATTTCCAGGTATATAGTAGAGATGACAAGGGACAAGGTTGTACTCACTTCTTAGCCAAAGTAAGCTACCCAGAAGGAGCAAGTAGTTGGACCTGTGGGCTCAGAACCATGGTTGCAGGGAGACATCAAGCTCAACTGGCATAACATACTACACAAAAACATTTTTCCACATCCTACTTTGGTGAGTAGCGACTGGGATCTTAAAAGCTTGCAAGCAGCCATCGAGGTGCAAAGATGGGTCTCTCCTTGTCCAGAGCAAAGAAGAATGAAGAAAACCAAAGACGCATGGATAGAATTAGTCCAAGGGACTGATACACCATGTGATCTTCAGCCTATATCACTATGAGAACAGAAGAAGTAGCTGGTGCCCAGCTACCACTGTCAACCTCTCAGAGGAGGATCTGTGTAGGAGATCCTGGGGAGATTGGGAGAACAATGAGGAACAAAAATCAAAATCATAAAAAAAAAACAGGTTTTTTGGTCTGATAGAACCTGGTGGAACCCCTGAGATTATGGCCCCTAGTTGCCCTTCAGGTCTGGAATTGAACCTATTCCTGTAGTTTCCAGCAAAACAAAAGATAGGCACATGAGCTGAACACTTACGTTAGGTTGATACACTCCTTGGAGAGACCAATCATAGGAGAATAGAAGGGCTGTGTATGCACAGGGAGACAGCTCAGGGGGCAGGAGTACATGGGAGCGAAGGACCCAGGGAAGAGGTGTCTATAGGGAGGAAGTGGGAGAGGAGTTGCATTGTGGGAAATTGCAGTCAATGTGATGAGACAGTGTATGTGAACTGCTGTATAGAAAATGAATTTGCTCTTTAAACTTTCACCCAAATCACAATAAAAGTTTTTAAAAAATGAAACAGTATATAACCTTTTGAGATTGGCCTTTCTCACTCCATGTGATACCCTTAACCTCCATCTGAGTTGTTGCAGGCATCAGTAGTTTGTTCCTTATTATTGCTAAGTAGTGATCCAGTATACAGGTGTACACAGTTTGTTTGCCTATTCACTTGTTGTGGTGATCCAGTTTGTGTGTGAACTTGGCTGGGTAATCAACTCCATGGTGGAGTCTACTGTGAGCAGCTGAGTAGCTGCCTTAGGGAAGTGGTCTGCTTCCTATATATAAGCAGAAGCCTTGGGGAATGGTCTCTAGCTTATGGCACGTGTGGACCCTGCAGGTAGCCGTGTCGTTGTTCAGCAGCCTGCCATGCTCTGTCAACCTTGGGACTTACAATGGACTTGAATTAATGGCCTGCCGTGTGGTTTGGTAACATCTGGACTGTGCCATTTTATTTGTCAACCTTAGGCTTGTTAGCCTCAGCAGCCAGGAGCTGCCTGAGTGAAGATATGCCCCTGGCTTCAGTGGGCCAGGAGCAAGAGGCAGAGCTAAAGCCCAAGGTCGAGGGGCTTTCACCCAACCTCTAGAGCCTTTGAACTTAGACTTAAAGCTTCCAGACTGTGAAAGAATAAACTCGTTTGTTAAAGCCATCCCATTTTGGTATATGCTTGTCAAAGTGGCACTTGGTAACCAAAACACTTGTCAAAGGACATTTAAGTTGCTTCCACTTTGGTATTAGTCCTACCCTTGTTTTTTTAAAAATATTTTTGAACTTTTTTTTTAATATTTGATATTTTAAAGATCTTTTTTTTAATCTTTAAAATATTAAAGTTTATTGGGAATGCTCAAAAAGGACTTTGGTATAATGCTGCTTTAATTCATGTGTGTAAAAGCTATGGACTCTTGACACATTTTTTTTCTTCCTATCATTCTTATTGTGACATAAAGGAAAGAAAATTTACCCACAGTCTCACCCTAACACATCAACATCTTTTCTTCCATATTCCCTTCTGGCTCAGGAAAAATTCTGCTTTCTAATTAGTAACAAACTATATGTACAACTAATTATAATTTCTTTTTGGTATATTACCTTGTCACACAAATAGCAGAATAAGCAAGCTGATTTTTTAAATTTATTTAAATCCTTAAGACATAACTTTCTAACTTTTTATATGGCTACTGTAGTATATAACTGATATTTTTTTGTGACTACAAAGCATTGCATGATCCTTAAGTGCTTTCTGAGCCATTAGCTAGAGATTTATATCCATTGTAATTTTAGTATTATGAGTTCTGGTGGCATAGTGCCTGAGGCATTTGACTACTAACCAGAAGGATGGCAGTTCAAACCTAACAGCGACTCCTCGGAAGGAAAAATTGGGAATCTAGTTCCATAGAGATACCACCTTGGAAACCTAAGGAGGGGTCGCTGTGAGTCAAATCAACTCTACAGCTGTGAGTGTAGTTTGTTTTTTTTTTGTTTTGGTAGTGCAATGGTTAATTGCTCAGCTTCTAACCAAAAAGTTACCAGCTCAATCCCACCAGCCTCTATGCAGGAGAAAGATGTAGAGTCTGCTTCCATAAAGATTACAGCCTAGGAAACCTATGGGGTAGTTCCACACTGTCTTAATACAGTTGCTATGAGATGGAATTGACTCAACAGCACACAATAACATATGGTATATAATAAATATTTTATTTAAGCATAGTATTACCTTCCTCAACCATCTAAGTAAACCAGAAAAAAACCACAGCCAGCAAGTTGATCATGACTCACAACAACCCCCACTGGGTTGGAAAATCTTTATGGAAGTAAAGTAGGTTGCCTCATTTTCCTTCTGCAGAGTGGCTGGTGGGTTTGAACCACCAACCTTCTGGTTAGCAGACAGATGCCTTAAGCACTGCACCACTAGAGCTTCTTACCTAAGTAAATAGCTCAAAACCAAGCATACTGCCATCAAGTTGATTCCAACTCATAGCAACCCGCATTGGGTTTCCAAAGTAATAAATCTTCACAGAAGTAAAGTCTCTGGTGGGTTTGAACCACCAATCTTCTGGTTAGCAGTCAGATGCCTTAGGCACTTTGCTACCAGAGGGCCTTATCTAAGTAAATGGGAGTCACTAAATAAGGAGAAAGTAAAACTGATTGTTCTGCAGTGCTGAGGAGGCATCTGTAAGTAACTACTAGCAACAAGACAAAGGTCATAATTACATATTTGAGAAATATTAACCTCTTGGTTGATGTCTTATATTTCATGAACTTTCTGTACTAATAAGTTAATCACAACCTATAGGAAGATCTCTACTTCTAAACGTTCTACTAAATTTCCTATGCTATGCTTCATGTTCACACTTTGTTTACATTATTAAGCTGTTTAAGAAAATTACCAGGCAGTACAGGTTGCGTTTTTTTTTTTTTAACAAATCAACACAATTTTCATGTTCTCTTGAAGTTTCAGAAGCTTTTTATCTTTAGTTGAGGGCAAGTATGTCATAATTTGAAATACAGACATTTATCTAAATAATGTTTCTGCTTTAATTTGATTAGATTGCTCTTAAGCTCAGTGTGACTGCTAACGACGTAAAGAATGTCATCATTTGGGGAAACCATTCTTCCACTCAGTATCCAGATGTCAACCATGCCAAGGTGAAATATCAAGGAAAGGAAGTTGGTGTTTATGAAGCTCTGAAAGATGACAGCTGGCTCAAAGGAGAATTCATCTCGGTAGGAAAAATCGGTTGCATCCTCTTAACACCCAGGCATAAAGAACTCGAGAGACACACGACTTGGCTGACCTGAATGTGTCCTCACGAGAGCAGGCCTTTCATAGTTGCTGTGGTGATTGCATGGTTTCTTTTTGGGTCTTAGCCAACCAGTGATGATTCAATCTGATTTGGTCTGTTGTGTGGAAATCAATAGTGATTCATAAAGTGGAATAAAACTAGAATACTCTCCAGTCATCAATTATACAGGGATCCATTTCTTTGTGTGAAGTGAGGTAAACTTTTCGGGGGTTAGTTTTCTCTGTTCAAAAAATCTGGTGAGTATAATTGAAATAGGTTAGTAAGGCTGACATTGGGTCTTTGCTTGATTACAGAGGGGACGCATAAAGATAACATCTCAGCCTCCTCCCTACCCCTACCCTTACCCCCCAGGGTCAGCTTGGAATGAATGAAACTTCTGTCACGATTAGGTAACACTCTGTCTCTTCCTGCCCTACCCCAGACCGTGCAGCAGCGTGGCGCTGCTGTCATCAAGGCTCGGAAACTATCCAGTGCAATGTCTGCTGCGAAAGCCATCGGTGACCACATCAGAGACATCTGGTTTGGAACCCCAGAGGTGAGGACTCAATGATTTGCACAGACCACTCTCATTTTTGTCCCTACCTTGCAAACAGGTTATGTTCTCATCCTAATTCAGTGCCTACTAACTGAGAACCTTAGGAAAGTTACTTGAGTTTTCTGAGCTGTTTCCACATGTGTTACATGACTTTGAACTCATAGCATTGTGGTATTAAATGAGATTCTGTATGAAAAACACCTAACGCAATGCCTGGCATGTGCTAGGAACAACTTTCTTCCTTCTTAAAACCTATGTTGGGCCACAGCTTCCTCGCTTAAAAATGAGGATTATGTTTCTCCTGCTAGTTCACACATGGGTTGAAAGTGGAATGAGGTAATGTTCATGAAAGTTCTATCATAGAAGTGCCTGGCACTTACATAATAATGAACAGTTATGCATAGCAAAGTGTCAGTTCAATTTTTTTTTGTTTTCACAAGTCTGGTGGTTGTGTGAGCTAATTCTTTTGTACCATGAGAGTGTAAAACCTTGTTATTTTCAGGGAGAGTTTGTGTCCATGGGAGTAATGTCTGATGGTAACTCCTACGGTGTTCCTGATGATCTGCTCTACTCATTCCCTGTTACAATCAAGGTAAGGGGAGCCCTGGTGAAGTGGTTTCTCTCTAGAAAAGTAGTTGTATATTTTTCTTAAAACTGGTATAATGTAGCCTCATAAGGTTTTCCTTTATTAAATTAGACATGTTTCTCAGCTTTGAAATTGTGTGAAGCACAATTTCTAGTTCTTAAAATGCTGAAATTGATCTAGAAAGCAAGATTCCATTCTACCCAGGAGGCACAGTATATTGCTATGCCTCTAAAATCAGAAACCTACAAAATAGTATCATGTTTCTATGTGAAGCAATGGTTGTTAGTATTACTCTTTTTTATAACTGTGCTAAAGTCAATAGTTTTTATACCCTTAATTAAATCTTCATTTAATGGTTTTTCTTAGATTCAGTGGATTTTAAATTCAAGTGTGGAGCTTTTGTTAAAATTATCCATTAAGTTAAGATCTGAATTTTTATTTGCTCCTCTAGAATCATACTGTAAAACAGATACACCTCTAGCTTTAAGTTCAAACTAGGTTGTAGCCTGCTGGAAGGTCAGCTCTAGCTTAATTACAAATGTTTTATTTGCAATTATTTTTAAACAGAATAAGACCTGGAAGATTGTTGAAGGTCTCCCTATTAATGATTTCTCACGTGAGAAGATGGATATTACTGCAAAGGAACTGACAGAAGAAAAAGAAAATGCCTTTGAATTTCTCAGCTCTCCCTGACTAGGCAGAAGTTCTGATGTTCATACATGCACAAAAGCAGAAGAATCTAAATGTCGTCTTTGACTCTAGTACCAAATAATAATAATGCTATACTCAAATTACTTGTGAAAAATGACACATTTTAAGGATTATGTGCTTCTTGGTACAAATTTGTGACAGTTTATCATCATGGTATTAGTGCTACATTCTAAATAAAAATATATATTCAAACGAAAATGACTCTGACTCTTAATTTCTGCCTAACATTTTCCGTTCAGAAAACAAAATTGCGTATGGCCTAGCTTGATTAAGGAGTTGTGATTTTTTTTTTTTTTAAACCAGAAAAAGGCAGTGAAGATGAAAAATTGTACAAGATAAAGCATAAATGTTTTTATTTTAAAATAGAACAGTAAAGTCCACCTTAGACTAATGGCATCTATTTACTTCAAGATATATTTTTAAGCATAATCTGCATTAGACAATTAAACACATTTTTAAAAAAATCTTAAAGGTTAGTTTGTGCTTTGTAAATACTTATTTTAACATTGACTATTAAATAGATTGTAGATAATACTTGTTAACAGTTTTATGTCATCAGATGAAATTATAACAGTTTTTTTTGTGATAGAGGAAAAGGTAGTAAGAATTTTCCCTTGTATTCTTTGATAGTGAGTAAGGAATCATTGGGAGCTCTGGTAGCATAGTGCCTAAGGCACATGACTGCTAACCAGAAGGCTAGAGGTTCAAACCCACTAGCCACTCCTAGGAAGGAAGGTTGGGCAATCTACTTCCATAGTGATACCGCCTCGGAAACCCAAGGAGGGGTCACTATGAGTCAGGTTCAACTTGATGGCACGTAACAACAACAAGGAATCGTTTACATTTCATGACCAGTAAATGCAGAAATTTATTCTAACGTGAATAGAATGTTCCCAGTCTAAGCTTGTTACTGGAATATTGAAAACACCATGGTCTTTTTTTTTTCCCCAAAAAAAAAAAAATCCAAGAGGACAGGAGATGTCTAATTTTTCATCATTGTGCTTAACGGTACACATAATAAAACCAAAAAGCCAAATCCATTGCCATCGAGTTGATTCCAACTCATTGTGACCCTCTCTAGGACAGAGTACAACTGCCCCATAGAGTTTCCAAGGCTGTAAATCTTTATAGAAGCAGATTACTACTTTCTTCTGAGGAGCAGCTGAGGGGTTCAAACAGCCGACCTTCACGTTAGCAGCCAAGGGCTCAACTACTTGCACTACTGAGTCTTCTCTTACACATGTTGTTAGGTGCTGTCAAGTTGGTTCTGACCATAGGTATAACAGAACAAAATACTGCCCAGTACTGCAGAACCCTCAGTGATTGCCGTGTTTGAGGCCATTGTGGCAGCCACTGTTGTCAATCCAACCTGGTCTTCCTCTCTCACTGACACTCTTACCAATCATGAGACCCTTCTCCAAGGACTGGTCCCTCCTGACGACAAGACCAAAGTATGAGAGGCAAACTCTTGTCATCCTTGCTTCTAAGGAGCATCCCAGCTATACTTCAAAAAAGATTTGTTTGTTCTTCTGGCAGTCTGTGGTATATTCGGTATTCCTCACCAACACCATAATTCAAATGCAGTCTTCCTATTCACTGTCCAATTTTCACTTATATATGAGGCAACTGAAAATACCATGACTTGGAACAGTAGCACCATGGTCTTCAAAATGACATCTTTGCTCTTTAACATTTGAAAAAGCTCTCTTGCAGCAGATTTGCCAAATGCAATATGTCGTTTCATTTCTTGACTTCTGCTTCCATGGGTGTTGATTGTGGATCCAAGTAAAAAGAAGTCCTTGACAACTTTAATCTTTTCTCCATGATGTTGCTTGCTGGTCCAGTTGCAAGGATTTCTGTTTATGTTGAGGTGTAATCCATACTGCAGGCTGTCATCTGATCTTCAGTGTTTCAAATCCTCTTTGCTTCAGCAAGTAAGGTTGTGTCATCTGCCTATCACAGATTGTTGATGAGTCTTATCCATCCTGATGTCACAGTCTTCATACAGTCTAACTTCTCAGTTTATTCAGCATATAGATTGAAGTACAGTAAAAGGATACAACCCACCTTTCCTGATTTTACACCATGCAGTATCCCTTTGTCCTGTTCATATGACTGCCTCTTGGTCTATGCACAGGTACTTCATGAGCAAAATTAAGTATTCTGTAATTCCCATTCTTAACAGTGTTATCCGTATTTATTATGATCAACAAAGCCGAATGCCTTTGCATAGTCTTTCTGGTATTTTCTGCTTTCAGCCAAGATCATTTGACATCAGCAATGCTTTCCTTTGTTCCACATCTTCTAAATCTGGCTTGAGTTTCTGGTAGTTCCCTGTCTTATGTAGTGCTGCAACCATTTTTTAACTATGTTCAGCAAAATTTTACTTGCATGTGATAGTAATGATGTTGTTGTTGTTTGCCATCGAGTCGGCCCCGACTCATAGCGCGACCCCTTCTTGGGTTTCCGAGGCAGTATCACTACGGAAGTAGGATTGCCCAACCTTCCTTCCGAGGAGTGGCTGGTGGGTTTGAACCGCCACCCTTCTGGTTAGCAATCAAGTGCCTTAGCCACTATGCTACGATAGTAATGATACAGGTCAATAATTTCCTCTTTCTGTTGGATCATCTTTTTTTGGAATGGACACATATGGATGTCTTCCAGTAAGGAGGCTGAGTATTTGTCTTCCAAAATTTTTGGCAGAGGCAATTGAGGGGTTCCAGTGTTGTTGGAAATTTCAGCTGGTATTCCATCAACTCCTGGAGCCTTATTTTTCGCCAATGCCTTCAGTGCAACTTGTACTTCTTCCTTCAATACCATCAGTTCTTAATTATATACTACTTTGTGAAATGGCTGAACATTGATCAATTCTTTCTGGTACAGCGATTCTGTGTATTGCTTCCACCTTCTTTTGATTACTTCCTGTGTTGTTCAATATTATGCCCATAAAATATTTCAGTATTCCACCTCAAGACATTAATTTTTTCTTAGTTCTTTTCAGCTTGAGAAATACTGAGTGTGTTCTTCCCTTTGGTTTTCTAGCTCCAGGTCTTTGCACATGTCATTATAATAATTTTGTCTTCTTGAGATGCCCTTTGGACTCTTTCAGCTCTTTTGTCATTTCTTCCACTTGCTTTAGCTACTGTATGTTCAATAGAAAGTTTCGTAGTCCTTTCTGACATACATTTTTGTCTTTTCTTTCTTCCTTTTCTTTTTAATGACCTTTTGCTTTCTTCATGTATGATGTCCCATCCCACAACTCATCTTGTCTTCAATCATTGATGTTCAATGTGTCAAATCTATTCTTGAGATGGACTCTAAATTCAAGTGGCATATAATCAAGGTTGTATATTGGCTTTTGTGGACTTGTTTTAATTTTCTTCAGCTTCAGCTTGAACTTGCATATGAGCAATTGATGGTCTATTCCACAGCCAATGTTTGGCCTTGTGCTAACTGATGACATTGAGTTTCTCTATCACCTCTTTCTACAGATTAAGTTGATTTGATTCCTGTGTATTCTATCTGATGAGGTTCCTGTGTATACTCACCATTTTTGTTGTTAAGAAAATATATTTGCAGTGAACAAGTCCTTGGTCTTGCAAAATTCTATCATGCAATCTCCGGTCTTTTATCTGCTGATCCTTCTTTGTTTCCAACTTTCACGTTCCAATCACCAGTAATTATCAATGTATCTTGATTGCATGTTTGATCAATTTCAGATGGCAGAAGTTGATAATTTTCAGTTTCTTCATCTTTGGCTTTTAGTGTAAATTTTAATAATAGTTGTATTAACTGATCTTTCTTGTAGGTGAATGGATATTATCCTATCACTGTCAGCATTGTTCTTCAGGATAGATCTTCAAATGTTCTTTTTAACAATGAATGCCATGCCATTCCTCTTCAATTTGTCATTCCTGGCATAGTGTGATTATCTGATTCAAATCGGCCCATACTAGCCCAATTCACTTCACTAATGGCTATGATATTTATCTTTATGCATTCCATTTCATTTTGACAGCATCCAGTTTTCCCAGATTCATACTTCACACAGTCTAAGTTCTGATTATTAATGGAAGTTTGCAGCTGTTTCTTCCCATTTTGAGTCATGCTGCATTAGTAGATGAAGATCCCAGAAGCTTTACTCAGTGTCATTAAGGTCAACTTTACTTTGAGGAGGCAGCTCTTCTCCAGTCATATATTGAGTGCCTTCCAACTTGAGGGGCTCATCTTTGGCATTATATCAGACAGTGTTTTTAACTACTCATAAGGTTCTCACCAGGAACTCGGACAGACGACCAGTCAGCCGCAGGGATACAGGTGAGGAGAGGGAACTCAGGGACACCCAAAGCAGCAGGGCAGGAGAGCGGGAGAAAGGGGATAAAGAAGCCAGGAAGCCGGACAGAGGAGCAGTCAGCCGCAGAGATCCAGGTGAGGAGAGGAACTCAGGCATGCCCAAAGCAGCAGTGCGGGAGAGCAGGAAAAGGGATTAAAAGCCAGGAACCCTGACAGAGAAGCAGTCAGCCACAGGGATCCAGGTAAGGAGAGGGAAATCAGGCATGCCCAGAGCAGCAGGGCAGTAGAGCAGGAGAAAGGGGATAAAAAAAAGCCTCGGAACCTGGACAGAGGAGCAATCAGCCGCAGGGATCCAGGTGAGGAGAGGAACTCAGGCACCCCCAAAGCAGCAGGGTGGGAGAGCAGGAGTAGTTTTTTTGCTGAGTCTCTTGGGTTTTCTAGGTATAGGATCGTATCATCAGCAAATAGGGATAGTTTGACTTCTTGTTTACCAATTTCGATGCCTTTGATTTCCCTTTCTTGCCTTATTGCCCTGGCTAGGACTTCCTATACAATGTTGAATAGAAGTGGTGATAGAGGGCATCCTTGTCTGGTTCCTGTTTGCAAGGGGAATGGTTTCAGTCTCTCTCCATTGAGAATAATGTTGGCTGTTGGTTTTGCATATATGTCCTTAATTATGTTGAGGAATTTCCTTTCTATTCCTATTTTGCTGAGAGTTTTTATCAGGAATCGGTGTTGAATTTCATCAAATGACTTTTCTGCATCAATTGATATGATCATGTGGTTCTTTTCCTTTGTTTTATTTATCTGATGGATGATGTTGATTGTTTTTCTAATGTTGAACCATCCTTACATACCTGGTATGAACCCCACTTGGTCATAATGTATTATTTTTTTGA